GTGTATAATATTTGTAACTTCATAGAAGTATTATTATGACTAATATGGAATGAACTCACTTTATTTGGTGGTTTTTGTTTATCTGATAGAGTGAAACCTTCTAAAACCCTGCTAACATGTGTAGTTTGGACGGCAATATTTCCTAAAGATAATAAAAAAAGTTCATCAAGGTTTTGTTGATAATAAAACAACATAAAAAACACATTGACACAAATAATATTTGACAGTTTAAATAAGTAGAAACATGTTTCTCACTATGGTTCAAAGGTTAGACAATGTTGAAGAAGACTTCAAGATGTTGAGATATTTATGAAACCTCTAAATCAACGATTTACTGAGATATATTACCAGTACATGCACATTCACAGTAATGTTATCAGATTTAGGTACCCCACCTACTTCAAGATACCAACAAAAGTTTTACAAAATGTGTACCTTTTCTATTATGCCTTGGCGCTGTCCATCCAAATGACTTGGTAGGATCTTTTCCATCTAAAACCCTGTCATAGTTTGACATGTGATCTTGTGCATAGATATCATCATCGTCATCCTCAAACGCACCAATACCAAATGCCTAGAACCATTTTATAATCCATGATAGTGTCTCAATAATTGTGTTTCAAAACATAAAGTCCAAATGATTAAAATGATTACTGCAGTTTTATTTCAACAGCTACTCATTCCACCCAGAACACTCACCTTGCCAGATATTCCCTTTTTACCAACATGATGAGTTGCTTTCGGCTCAAATAAAGTAAAATGTTCTTCACTTTCCCTGGTCCCTAACAATGCTGTATTTGGGTTAATTCCTTGGTAGCCAATACCGTGGACATCATCTTTTGGTTTGAATAAAAATGTTTCAGCATCCTTTGGAGCGAAGTAGTGGCCTACTGCATATTCATCTTCATCTTCATCAGCAGAGCTGCTGTCAGGTGGTGGAGCACATCCATAGGTTTTACTCTCTGTATTAAGTTAAATGAAAAGATGTGAAGCAATTTGAAACACAATAGTAAATGTTGATTCAAACTTGTATAAATGTATATAAACTGCTCCAACAATGCTGATATTTAGGGGTAACTGAAAAAAGCTAGAAATGAAAACTGGATTTCAAGAACATGGTTTCAATCAGCTACACTACAGAAAATGGAAAAGAATCACAGTTGAGATTATGAGACACACAATGCAAATTAAACAGTCAATGTCCATGTACAAGAACTGTACACAAAGTGAGCTTTATATTTCTATGACTGATTGATTTTACTGGATACTAGTACTACATAAAATATAAACACATATCCATTTATTTGATAATAAATATTTACAATATCATTGAAATAATTGTTGTTGATGGAAATGAGCAATATATAAGTCAGTATTCTTCTCAGTAAAAACATGACTGTGTGATTTTTGTTCAACTGTTATAGAACAGAAAAACACTCAATTGCCAGTTATATATTAATTTTACTTATTTTATTAGAACAAAATCTACCATTTTTCTTCTTTGTCTTTCTTTTTATTTTTGGACCAATTCCCTGTCCTTTTTTCCAACCCATCTTGCTTAATAATCGAATACCAATTGGTGTTCTGAAATTTAGATCAAGAAAGTGAGTATTACCAGATCTGACAAAGATACCAATTTTTACTTTCTAACTGGTTAGCATAATCCTGAGTTATCAAAAAGTACATCTCCTTGAATCTAGCAAAATGAAATCCTGTTTCCATGACAACAGGATTCAGATATCTCCAAAAATCAAATTGAATGAAAGTAAAGTCATAATCTATCCAATCTAACTAAATGTTAAAATAAACTGAATTCAACTATGTAATGGAAGGAATATACAAGAAACACTAGAGCTACTGGTACAAATCTATTGGCCTTACCTTGTAGGTATAACCAGTTCATCTAATGCAGATAGTCCTGGAATAATACTTGATGAATCTATTGTTCTTTTTCTATTGTCTTTCTCATCAGATGCAAAATCATCAGTTGTTGTAATCTTTTTGGGTGCAATACCAAATTCTCCCAAGTCCTACATAAAAAAATACCAATAAATGGTTAACCACAATAATACCCTTTTAAAAAATGAAACAGTATGTTATATCATGATGTGCTATCAAGATAATATTCACATATTTATTAACAAGCAAGCACACAAAGGATTAATCCTACCTCAGTGTCCATATAGTCTTCAGGCCTTTGTACATTTTGATCAGCTCGTTTATTTCTTGATGACACAAATGTTGACGGAGTCCATCCTATAAAAATGAAATTATAAATACCTTGTTTAATCATAGAAAGTTTGGAATGCATTAGAAGACTATAAAGAGTGCAATGTGTACTTTTACAGCGAGAACAAATTATTTACATACATCTAACTTCCACACCTGGTAGGCAATTACCGAGTGACTTTGCAGCATTTTCACACTTTTCTAGACACTTCAGTGACTGTTGTTGGAAGAAGATTATTTACCTCTTTTTGGGTGGAAAAAGTTTGTGAGCGACCGCCAAGGAAATTGGGCTTGCGAAGGCAACCATTAAAAAAGTTGTGTTATGTTTTTTGGAATAGTCCAATACACTGTCCCCGCGACCACATACATGTATCAAAGGCATATGGCATACAATGTACTTGATAGGCAGCTATTATGCACCTGCATTATTAACACACTGTCTACCTCAATGTTTTGTGACCAGGATGGCATTTTATGTTTGCATTGCTCATATACGAAATATTTTGAAGAGAAAAAACGACTCTCTTACCTTCTTTAGAACCCACAGTGTTGAAGTACCCAGCTGAGAATCCTCCAGAGAAAGCTCCATGAAATCGACGTCTTCCTTTTTCATCATGAACAGTCTGATCTTCAATGGAGATAGGTTTCTTGCGTGGTGCATCTACAAAACAAGAATACTATACATACATAAAATGTAGACATGGTGCATGTAAATGTATCACTGGAAATAATGTATTTTTGGGTATTTGAGCCTAACACACACAATGATTGTTATATTTCAAAGTGAAAGTTTTTGAATAATGAATTAGTTGTATGTGAATCTCAGAGAGCAAATTTAATTAAAGTGGCCAGCAGAGACATGGTATGACATACTTTTTGCAGATCACTATTTCTGTCAGGCTATGACAACATTTTAAGTGAAACATGAAGTCAGTCAGTTGCACTTTGGTAGGCTTAAAGTTGATTATGTTACGTAGTTAAGTGTGTAAGTCAATTCGTATTCTCTGTTTGAAAGTTCAGTGTTGAGGAGTAAAATTGAACTACCGGTATTATGTAATTTATTTATTTAATGCAAGAACGATAATTTCAAATCTAGGGCTAACCATTCTGTATACTGTTAAAAAGCTTTTTCTAATTATTAATTTATTATCAAAACTATTATTAATACAAAAGAACATAAATTAATCAAGCATGTGACTAAATACTTAAAGTGCCTGTGCAATGCCCACCTTCACGTTTCCCATTTTAGATCTGTGTCCCACTGAAATGAGCAGTTATTGATTTTTTTGCCGAAAATGATTACTCGTATCCAAGTAAATTTGGGATATTTCTTGTGTTATAAGCCACGCCCACATATCCTGAAACGGTCGACTGTTTCCGGATTTCCGACTCTCACCGGAAGTGCGCCACCAAAGGCCAAAATGTGAGAGGAAGTCATACCCCTGAGCCGTAATAACACTGGTCATTCAATATACTTTTAAACGATATACATTTTTCGGTCGACGTTTTTTTTTTCTTTCTTTTTTTTTTGTCTATTTTATTTTTTTGAGAGAGAATTTTTAGATGTTGTGTTGTGG